TCTTTTCTACTAGCTATGCTAAACAAAAAGAAGGAATTAATATCAGTCTAAGAGAGGGTAATCCACAACCCTTAGAACGCTCAAGTATCTCCAAGGAAAGGGGTAGTCCACTCTCTGCCTCAAAGAACTAAGCTCTGATATTGTGATTGAGAAAATATCAGTTTAGAGGAAGGTAATCCGCAACCCCTAAAGCGCTAGAATACCTTCAAGAAGAGGGATAATCTGCTCTCAAACAAGAAGGATTGAGCTCTGATATTAAGATAAAGGTAGTCTCGACAAATTATCACGGACACAAAATACAGACTTGAAATCTAACAAGAAGTTCAAGAAGAAGTGGCAGAACTAGATTAAACAGATGAGTACAAGAACAATACCAGAAAGGTGAGTTAGAACTCCAAGAGATGTATTGTCGAGACTGAAGAACTCTTCAGCCTCGACTCCTATATATACTACTGGCCTATGGTTCTAAGGAAGCGCATCAAGAAGCTTCCCAAGAACTATGAAGCTTCTCGAGCAACTACCCAAGAGCTAGGAAGCTTCTCAAGTAACTTCCTAGAATCTACTAGAATATTCTAAGAATCTTCTAGAGCCTTCTAAGGGAATCTTTAGAGAATCTTCAAAGAATTTTTAGGGAATCTTTGAAGAATATTCTAAGAGAATATTCAAGGAATCTTCTGGAAGTTTCTAGAGACTTCTTTCTAGAAGGTTCTAGAAACTTGTCTCTAGAAAGGTCTAAGGACTATGTCCCTAACAGAAGCTCTCTCTCTTTAGAGACCCTCTTGTATATATGACTTACAACTACTCTTGTGTGTGTATATGACTTATTATTACTCTTGTATCTTTCTAAATATTTTCAACAAATAGAAAGCTATTGAGTGGAGTTTGTCGTATGTTCCCATTTATGACAATATGGCACCTATAGCAAAATTTGACGCATCTATTTCCATAAAAAATATCTTAGAGAAGTCAACACAATATAAGATTGTTGCAAAAATAAATTCCTTCTTTAAAGCATCAAACAATACTTTTGCTTCTTTATTCCACTCAAGTTTGTCTTTATAAGTTAAACGTGTAAGTGGAGCTGCAACTTGAGAAAAATTCTTGATGAAGATTTGATAGTAATTAGCAAAGCCCAAAAAGCATTGCACATCTCGTACTGTTTTTAGAATCTTCTAATCTATGATAGTTTGAACCTTCTTGGGATCCATCACAAGGCCTTCGTTGGAAATAATGTATCCTAAAAAGTCAACTTTAGTAGTATGGAATACACACTTTTCTAACTTGGCATATAATCCTCCATCTCTAAGTTTTTGTAACACACGAAAAACATGAAGTTCATGTTCTTTTCTATTCTTAGAATAGATTAGAATATCGTTTAAACAGTAAACAACAAAATCATCTAAAAACTCACAAAAAATATCATTTATAAGATGTTGAAAAGCGGTTGATGTATTCGTGAATACAAAAGGCATGACATTATATTGAAAATGTTCATATCTAATTCGAAAAGCAGGCTTCCATTCATCTCCTTCTTTGATACAAACTAAGTTGTATGCTCCTCGTAGATTTATTTTGGTATAGATCTTTGCTTGATTGAGTTAGTCAAGAAATCCTCAAATCAAAAGAAAAAGATACCTATTTTTGATGGTGATCTTATTGAATCCTCGATTATCCTCACACATTCGCAGAGATCCCTCTTTCTTCTTCACAAATAAGATAAAAGCCCCGATTGGAGATTTAGAATGACATATGAAGTGCTTTGCCAAATTCTTGTCAATGTATTCCTTTAATGAAACCAATTCATTATGCGATAAGCTATAGATTGGTCCAAATGGTGGTTGAGCTCTTTCTTTGAGATCAATTGAACAATCATAAGGTCGATGTAGAATATTTGCATTTTTCTTTTCAAAAACATCTTGGAATTCTTGATATTGATTAGGAATACCACTCGACATTGTTTTACCATTAAAAATGGGTGTAGCATATATAGCAAAAGATGATCCTTCTTTTATAGCATGTATGAAAGCTTTTGCACATACTAGTAAAAGTTTGGACGTATTGGACTTATGTACTTCTACTTTGCTAACGTGATCTTAGATTATACTATCAGAAAAGTTAAGGTTATGAGAAATCCAATCTATTTGAGGGTTATATTTTTCTAGCCATGATAATCCTAAAATAATCGAATTAGAGGGAGATTTTATTACATTAAATACTACTACGCTGTTATGATCTTTAATTGCTATATCTAAAAGAATAGTTTTATGAATAACATTTTTAGAAGACAACGAATGACCATCTATGACTTCTATATGTAAGGATTTAACTTTCTTTACTAAAGATATTTTTTGATTTTTGGCAAAATCTTCATCTATAAAACATGCTGAGGCTCTTGAATCTAATAAGGCAAAGACTATGTGATTATTAGGTCCTAAATATACTTCTATTATAAAACAAGGTGAGGGATCTGAGCAGAGGATAGGACCTTTACTAGGTGTTGCATATGATTCCAATCCCACGATCTCTATTGTAAGTGGAAACTTGTTTTTCGATATATTATCTTCTTTGGTAATTGTGCTCTTTATTTTATAATTGTGTTGCTTCTTTAAAAAATATTGAGCAATGTGCTTAGCTTCTCTATAACCCTTCTTGGCAACGTCGAATCTTTTCCTGCTTTGTGAGAGGTTTAAAGGTGCAAACCAAGAGAGAGCACTTTTTAATAGTAGTGCACTTATAAATTCGACTTGTGTAAATCTATCAGGATATTGGAAATGGTGCAACCTTAAATAGAGCTTGACTTGTTGCAAAAATCCTCAAAATTTTGATCTTGTTCTATCAAACTTCTCAGGCATACTAATCTTTGTCCCTATCATACTTGTAGAAGCAAAACTCCTTGGATTTGGTTGTGATGTTGATCTACTTGCTTCTTTCAATTACACAACTTCTTGCCGCAGACTTTGAATTTCTTCCATAGGCGTAGGCATAGTACTTCTATGATTCACATTGGAAATATGTGAGATTTTTATTCTTAGAGTATTGACAAGCTCATAAAGATCTGCTATAGTTGCAAATCTATTCTCACTTCCGTTGAGAGTAGCATCCATAAACTTTCCTTCCAAAGAACAACATGTATTGACTTTCAATATGGCGATGTCCTATAGGACCTCCAACATGTGTTGATTTTGCTAACCACATGTCTTATCTTGCAAGGCAAGTTATCTATGTATACACCACGTAGTTGGCTTGTTCCATAAGCTATTATACAGAGATAACTTGTTCCACAAGCTACCAATACATGGTTAGCTTTTTGGCCAAGTTTCTAACCTACAAATATATCTAAAGTCAAAACCATATGAAGCATCTAGGAAGCTTGTCTAGAAGATTTTATAAAATTATTCTATATTTAATTACTTCTACTTAATCATGTAAGTAACTATTGAAATAAATATATATGTTTGTGACACTTGTACATCCATATATATTCTTAAGTAGGAGCTATGCTGCAATATCTTATAGAACTTATAGAATTATGTTGACTTTACAAAACACATATCTTAACTTGCAAGACAAGTTTTTTTATAGGTATATCACATAATTAGTTTGTTTGACAAACTAATAATATGTGGTTAACTTATTGACCAAGTTTTTAGCCTACCAATCAACTACAAATACATATAAAATCAAAGTAGTGTCAGTAAAGCTCTTAGGAAGCTTTTTTTAGAAGATATTATGAAATAAATTAACTTTTATCTACCTCTACTTAATCACATAGGTAAATATTAGAGTAAATATGTATGTTTGTGACACAATATTGGCTCAAGAATAGAAGAAAATAAAAATAAGCTATCTTTGTTTTTGACAATCCAATAAAAAAAAATGAATTAAATAGTTTTTGAGACAACTATCTTGATTTTTTCTATATAAAACATAGCTTTCAATATATCTATATATATATATATATATATATATATATATATATTTTAAATATTTATTGTCTCCCTCTAAACTACCACACTTAAAGCACAAAAAACTATCTATATATATATAATTAGCTAGTTGTCTATGAGGAGGTCAAATGGGATATAGCAATATCAATTGGGGATGTAGAGTTAATAATTCTCCAAAAAAATGATTTTTTATTCATTAAGTGCAGAATATTGATAAAACTTTTGAACCATGATTTTTCAAGTGGACTTCTAGATGTTAAATCCCCCTAAAATACTAAATACATTAGTCATTTTTATCTAAAATATTTCATCCTCCATAATATCCTAGGTATCCAGAACAAATCCAGACCATTACAGACCTGTAAACTTTTGCAGAATATGGTAAATCCCTGGGTCAAACATGGAACACTAGGATAAGAAATGCTACTAATAATACTTGTGAAATTCTTAATGGCATATCCTTCTAGACAGGAATGACAATGAATTTCTACAACAACAACATCCAAATCAATCTCAATTTGCTGAATGTATCATGCATTCCAGTCTATTGACAGGAAATGCAGTCAACTTAATCTAGTAGTTCAATACAACATGACACACGATAGCTCAGAGGGAACCGTGCAAATTAATATAGCTTACAAAGACGAACTCTAACCCCACAAAGGAATGTGAATTTAGAAAAATGAAAGAACAAAGCAGGCATGATGGGAGAAAAGGGCAAAAGAGTGTGGGCATCCAAACAGTAGTGGAATCAAAGCAGAAGTGCAAAGATCAATGTATTTAACCAAAACATTGGCAGAACAACAACATTCCCTATGCTTCAAAGATTCAGTCAAGCAAAGTTCACGTGCCACACAACTGGGAAATATGTAAAACAAATCATGCATGTGTCTATTCAGAGTCTCATCAGTACAGGAAACCCTAATTTCGCAAACTACGATTGGGCCCATGTGTTCATCATCAAAATCAGCCGAATCCATTCCGTCTGACGTCATCAGTTGAGTGCCTTGGTGAGCAAAACCCCCAAAGAGAAGGCTGGCTGGCTCAAGGGCAAGGAAGGAGCCCGAGTCCACGATTCCGAACGGAATCGGTCTAGTCTTTTTTCGGAAACCACCATGGGTGCCGCCGGTGGTGGCCTAGTCGCAGCAGCAGGGCTCTATCCTGCTATCTATCAATCCCCACAGAGCTCCAGTGTCCGCCATAGCCAAGCCAAGAAGCTATGGCCATGGCTATGGCCGTGCTTCACGCGGCGTGGCCTCGATGCCATCATTCTCCTTCCCTCGTCCCCTCCCGTCTGCAGCTTGACCCGACTTTCCTTTTTTGCCTTTATACCTCGCCTACGCTAACAAGCATATATGTGTGCAGAATGCCTCTGTCGTTGCGTGTGAATTCGAAGGATCCAAGGTGTGTAGGACTTGAGGTGGAGAAGAGGCGATGGCAGCAGGAGGCGTGCTCGCGAGCGGGATTGTCAGCGTGAGAAGTGTTTTCGGAAGCTTTGAAGACTCCGCGCATATGTTGAAGGCGGTTGAGTTGGCAGAGAGCAGCAATGGCCTGACGGCACCTCATCCGAAATTCGGGTGTGTGATTGCGCGGGGCAGGAGGATTGTGGGAGGAGGGGGTTTGTATGGTCAGGGGGCGAGATCGGCTGAAGTGCAGGCGGTGGAGGAGGCTAGAGAGCAGGCCCGAGGTGCGACCGCGTTTCTGAGTTTGGAGCCGGGGGATTGCGGGGGCGACGATGCAGCGATTGCCGCGCTCGTGCAAGGGGGTTTAGGGAGAGTGGTGGTTGGGATGCGGCATCCGCTGGCTCACTTCCGAGGTAAGGCGATTGCCGCGCTGCGGCGGGCGGGGGTGAGGGTTGAGGTGGGAGGAGAGGATTTTGGAGGTGGAGGGGCAATTGAGGCTGCACTAAAGGCGTGCCAGTCTGCGAATGCTCCGCTGTTGTACAGAGTGAGTCATAATTTGCCTATGTCGACGTTGAAGTATGCGATGACTTTGGACGGGAAAATTGCGGCTAGTAGCGGCCACTCTGCGTGGGTGTCGAGTGCAGTTTCCCGGCATCGGGTAATGAAAACAAGAGCGCAAAGTGATGCTGTTATTGTTGGAGGGAATACTGTTCGCATTGATAACCCAAATTTAACAACAAGGCTAGAAGGGGGCCACCAGCCTGACCGCATTGTTATGTCGCGCGCTTTGGATTTGCCCAGAGATGCCAATTTGTGGGATGTGTCGAAGGCTAATACGATAGTTATGACACAGAAAGGATCGAATCTGGAGTTTCAGAAGCTCTTGACATCTAGAGGGGTGGAAGTGGTAGAATTTGATTTCCTCAGTCCTCGAGCTGTCATGGAGCATTGTTACATGCGAGGTTATCTTTCCGTTTTGTGGGAGTGCGGGGGCATGCTTTCGGCCCCTGCTATCCAAGATGGTGTAGTTCACAAGGTTTTAGCATTTATCGCTCCGAAGATTGTCGGAGGGCTCCGGGCTGCGACTCCTGTTGGAGAGCTTGGAATGGTGCAGATGACGCAGGCTTTGAAGTTGTCCGATGTTGCCTTCGAACAGACTGGACCTGACATGCTGGTCACTGGGTACTTGCATCCGATTCCAGATATTTCTCATGGTGATGATAAGTTAGCATCCATCTCTAGGGAAAACGTCGCAGTGATCCCGAACAAGCCATCAATTATTCGCTTCAACAAACCATGGGATCGCTATGGTGCTCTGTCGACCCTTTCCTACCACCCCATCACTTTACCAGATTCTATTGGTAACCCTGTGGTATGGAGTAGCGTGGAACATTATTATCAAGCTTCGAAGTTTGCAGGGGTGAACGATCAGCTGGCAATTCAATACATAGCTGAAATACAGGGTGCTGAAAGTCCTGAAGAAGCTGCAAGGCTTGGAGAAACTTTGTCAAGCCAGAGACCGGATTTAGTACGAAAGGATTGGGATGTTGTAAAATTTCAAGTCATGCGCACTGCTTTACAAGCTAAGTTTCTGGCTTACCCTGCACTCAAATCATTCCTTCTATCCACTGAGGGTTCAGTTTTGGTAGAATCTTCACAGAATGATTCCTTGTGGGGTGCTTCAATAAATGGTGTTGGACTTAATCATCTTGGCCGCTTGCTAATGGATTTAAGGGGAGAGATTTTAAGAGGACCCCCAACAGGCAATCTAGTGAATGGGCACACTAAGACGTCAGTGAATGACCACAGATATTTTTTGGATCGTTGTCGTCAACAAGTCACTAGCCAATAGGAACCATTTCTTTTTGGAAGGCAATGAGTACAATGAATCTCTTGGAGTCAAATAGTTTGACGGCCCACTTTTGTTGTACAGACTCTTCCATAATCCAGGGAGTTGGGCACAGGTTGAAGTGAGTACTGTAGCATAACTAACTTCATTTCTCTCAGGAGGTCAACATAGCACAGTTTAGCACGAATTATCTTTCATTATAGGTTCAGTCTCGGAGGTATATTGCAACGTTAGACACAACTGAAAATCTCCTCTCTAGGCGATGTTGGTGTCTAGAGATATGGGTTGAGTTTTAGGCCCAATATAGATATTTTTTGTATATCGCATGCCTGCAAGTCATCAATTATCAGTTTGCTGGCACCATCTCCTGGGTCATACGGACTTCTGTGGGATGCTGAAATCTACATATGTGATCTGAATTCAAATTGTACGTTTTCTTTTACGTTTCTCTGCATATTTTCTGCAACTTTGAAAGTCTAAGTTCGAAAACCCTTGTTGTTGGTAACGCCATACTTTAAAGCGAAACATTGTGTGTTAGCTCATAAAAAATTGGTATTCATTATCCTACAACCACAGCCACGGCATTGTGCTGAAAGTCAGTTGGCGTTCTACAATAAAACTTTCTCAGTTGACTCAGTTTAGTATCATAAGTTGGTGAGCTAATTTATAGTCAACAGTAAGCATTGACTTAAATCTCTCTATAAAGATAAGTTTAGAAAACAATATTAACATTATTAATGTGAATTATTATAGCCACTATGTGCTTTTAAAGAGTTGTGACTTATTTATAATTGGAATTTATCTCTATTCTGTTACTACAAAAATTTGATGAGGCAGTATTTGGAGTTGTATTTTGATTAATAATAATGATTTGTCATGCTCTTTACCACAAACGGATTCTATAAATTCGAAATTATTTTATTTCAAAGTAAGTAAAGACAATATATTTATATAAATGAAATTTATAATTTTTTAATTTACAAGTATTAAAAGAACCTTTCTTAGAAAAAAGAATAAAGTTATAAAATGTTTCAACTGATTAACTTTTGTATTTGTACATTCCAAAAAACAAGAATCTTCAATACAACAAAATCATTAGTTAGGAATGTAATACATTAGGCAAATGGAGGTTGACATTGAAGACAATAATGGAGGCAAATGAAGCAAATAAATTTTGTGGTTTTATTTTTTATTTTTTATTGCATCTATAATACTACTTGAAATAATTCTTTATTTTTTATGATTCTATAAAAGAAAAAAACATATTATTTTGTTTGACTATCATACATAAATTTGAAGTACAAGAATTATTTAATTATAGAGTGAGATAAGATAAGTTATAATTTTTGATGTGATGGTACTAATGAAGCTTAAGAGAATATATGCATATGTTTTAATAATTTATAAATAGATTGAAAAAGACAATTTCTTTAAAACACTTTCAATTTATATTAGATTATTAACATGCATCAAATTTTTAAGTATTTTTCAAAGATTAGTTTCAAATACAAAAGTTGGTTTTAAAACCTATACTCCATATTTGATTTAATATAAATAGAAATATCTTTAAATTTTTTTTTAGATATATACAAATTTCTTAAGTTTTATATTTGATTTTAATTATAATTAGAAATCAATTTGTACATTCTACTTCAAGTCATGGTATTATTAAGGACATGAATCTTGAAAAACTAAAAGATCAAGACACTCTTGCATTACTCAAAAAGATTAGATAATTACTCAAAGATGATATAATATTAAACTATAATGGCTATTGTCAAAGACAAGAAGACTAAAAAGTCTTGAAACAAGAATAAGGACTTAAAAGACATTAGCGAGAATGAAGAAGGCTTCATGCTTCCCTCTATATATACTATCTAATTTGGAGCTATGTAGCCATGTTCTATAGGACCTCCAATACGTGTTGACTTTGTAAGACACATGTTTTAACTTGCAAGGTAAGTTTTTTATATGTGCGGCACATAGTTAACTTGTTCTACAAGCTACTAACACGTGTGATATGTAATTAGCTTGTTCACCAAGTTTTTAATCTATCAATAAACTATGAACATGTCTAAAGTCAAAATCATGTCTATGAAGCTTTTAAGAAGTTTATCTAGAAGATATTATGAAATTAATCTACATTTATCTACTTCTATGTAATCATATAGATAATTATTGGAATAAATATGTATGTTTGTAATCTTACCTCTCCTTCTAGAAATGAGTTCTACAAAGAGTGGTTATCATCATTTATAGATCTTATAATTCTTCATCTTGGTTATGATGGATTTTGTCAATAAAAAATTCAACCCTCTTTATTGTATATATAAGATTTTTTGCTAGTTCCTATATTCATTCACTATTTTTTTATCTGCACTAATAAACAAGATATTTCAACCTATTTTGGCGCCCTGTTGAATCTAAAACTTCTTCCACCTCAAACTTTTGATTATTATCTACTTCTATAGAAAGAGGTGGCATTTGTCTTCTTCTCAAGATATTTATTGTCTTATATGGTTCAAGAAGAAATACATGGAATATGAGATAGATCTTCATAGATTTCGATGTTGTGTTGTAACATAACTATATAGTGAAAATATAATCAAAAGTAAAATTTTAATTAATATCTAATCATCTTGATTCAATAATAACTTAAGATATTTGAATATGGCTTTTTTAAATGCTTCTTAGTTTACTTTTTTTGTCTTAATAGCTAGTAGAATAAAGTTAGTTAATAATTTTACCTTCTAGGTTTTAGAAACTCTTTTACTACCTTTAAAAAATCATGAATTGGTAAAACCAAATTAAAAGAGGTAAATAATTAGCATGGTTGATACTAGGATTAAGTTGAGGGTAAGATTGGGCTAAAAAATCCCTAAGATAGATTAGATTGATACTTGAGGATTGACCATTTGTAGAACAAGGTCAAAATCAGATCTCCAACTACTAAAATAACTACCTAGGGCAAAGTAAGGGAACATTTGAAGATAAAAAATTAGGATTAGTGAGCTAGCTTTAAGTTTATTTGAAAGATGTAACGCTTGTTTTCAAAGGGCTTGAAATGACTTTGCAATTGTTGTTCAAAGTTAGGGTTTATATTGGTGATTTAGATTTTATGAAATATAATTAGAACTAGCACTCTTGACTAATTTGTGTAATTGGTGACACATCTATAGTTCAAAATTTAATAGTGCTTGGTTGATTAGGTATGCTAAGTGTGTAAAATTTTGTGTCAATCTAATGGTGTAATTGGTAAATATTTAGGTTTTGATATAAGAGGATATTAGAAGCTGGCAGTTTGGGATTGAATAGGGTTTCTATGATATTTAAAGATCTACTTGTTGGATTAAGGTGAAATTTGGCATAGAAGTAGAAGACTTCAAGATCAAGCCACACATCGATTTTGAGTTGAAGTTAATAATTAAAGAAGGAGAAATTGCCACTAGAACATTTGTATCAACTTTCAAGTTGGGCACCAAATAACATCAATGTGATTTTTGGGCTTTTTTTTCACAATCTAAATGTTGGATTGATCATATAAAAGATTTACAATGGAATTTATATACAAAATTTTGAACCAAGTGGATAGTCAAATTAGGAGTTACAACTCGCCAAGGTTTATTGATTAGGGTTGAAAGTTGCAAAGAGAAATAAAAAATGCTTAATTATGAAAGTAATAAGGTAATTGGATTTTATATATAATTGAGGTTTCTAAGAAGAGTATTTTTGAGCACTTTGTACTAGCTTTAAAAAATTTTGAATTAGAATTTGAATTGCATTCTCCTTATATAGAGGGAACCTATTAGGATTTCTTGAATATTTGTAAAAAATAACTTTATCTTCCATAGTGAAGTGCCAGGTGCATTTTCAAACAAGACAACGTGTTGTTATGATGTAACATGACTAATAGATAAAAGAGTGTGGAAATTATTATAATGTAGGAGATCTTAGTTCAAAGTATTAGAGCAAATTATCTTAGAAATATATTTAATAGTCAAAAGAGTAGTAAAACTAAAAGGCATCAATATTACCTTTTTAGAAAGGTGACTTCTACTTACTTTGTAGGACCATAAATAAGACAAACAGAAGTAGATTGGAAAAACAAATGATATAAGCATCTTAAGAAGGAAGTTAAAAGTAAATTCTACCAAATTTACTTAGAAAAACTAGATATTGATACTCAGAGAGGGCCAATTGTGAACTAGGATCGAAATCAAACCCTAAGGCACAAAACCGAGTCTCGATGATGACTCCAGAGTTCTTTTGCAGATCAAAGAATAGGATTTGATAGCAGAGTGAATAAGATTTCTATAAGCATTGATTTTGAGCAATTTGGATTTGTAATGAATTTGAAAAAGCTTTACAAAGTCAAGTTTGTTTTTGGATGCCTTAGATTTTATGAAATAAAATAGGATTGATGTTTTAGGCAATATCAAGAGTTTTGTAATAGATCTATGGGTGAAATTTTGTAGGTTAATGGTCATAGTTGTGCTTAATAAGTATTGTGAATTTTAGTTCAATTTAATGGTTGAATTGAAGATTATTGAGATTTAAGTGGGTCAAGGTCTCAAAAAATAGAATTTTAGGTCTAATAAGGGTTTTTTAGATTTCTTATAATCTATTAGTTGGATTGGAGTAAAATTTATGTGTAAAGATATTAGACTTATTTTTCTATGTACATGATAATTTTGAAATCAATTGAATGATGAAAAAAAGAGATATTGGCTTTGGAAGATTGACATTAAGGTTAGAGAAGGAGGTTGGCTAATATCCAAGCACATTTTTGAGGCTATCATTTATTTGGTAATTTCGATCCTTTTCAAATTTTTTATGCTTGTTGTCAACTTAATTGTTAAAAAGTTTGCTAATTTTGAGTTAAGATTGTTGGTTCATTCATTAGTAATTAAGATTTAAATCTATTGTAGGAATTACTAGGGTTTGATTTAGGGTTTAGGATTTGGTTTAGAGTTTGGTTAGGATTTGATTTAGGATTTAGGATTTGATTAGGATTTGATTTAGGATTTAGAATTTGATTAGGATTTGATTTAGAATTTGATTAGGATTTGATTTAGGATTTAGGATTTTATTAGGGTTTATTTAGGGTTTAAGATTTGGTTAGTTTTTGGCCTAAAATTTGAATGAAGTCTAATAGGATTTTAACTAGGATTAAATTAAGATTGAATTTAGATGTATTTGAAATATATTTGTGATCATTCCAATATTTTTTTAAGATTTCTTATTATTTCTTTGTAATTCCTTTGAGGTTTCTTTGAATTTAATTAAAGCTTGCTTAGCATTGTTATGATGTAATTAGAATTTAGATAGTATTCGATTAGAGTAAAGATTTTATCATTGCAATTTCTATTCTACCTTCCACAGCTAGGTGCCTGGAGCATTTTGAAGCAAGACTTCACGTATTACAACAATGTAATATAATAC